GTCCTTTATGAAGGCATAGAGCCTTTACTACATGAAAATGAAAATTAATGAATACACTGTGTACAGTAATTTACCTGATAAGACAGACCTCAGAAAAATACTTTATGAGAGCTTTTATACTTTTATAAAGCTGTCTATAATGAAAATTAATTAACTAAGGATTTTTTTGCCCTGTCAGGGTGGGGCCGAGTTATCCGGAGTGCCGGGTTATCGAGAGCCGAGTTTTCGAGGTTCTACTGTATTAGTATAGATAATAATTTCACCATATTTAGAAGAGAAAAATAATTATTTTCATAACAGTAATTATTACATATAAATGTGGAATTTTGCATAAAAGATTAAACAATAATATTTTAATCTGTAACAAGTTCATTAGAAAATATATTGATACAATAAACTGCGTTTTTTAATTGAATAATATATTTCTTCTTAATGCATTTTTAATTAATTATTCTAATGCAGAAATGCTGGTCTAAGAAGTATTTGCATACAAATACTAGGATACTAGGGTGCTTAGCAACCATCAAACTACATATGATAAGATAGAAGAAAAACTGAAAATTTTGAAGCAAAAAATTGTTATATCTTATGTTATATTAAGTAACTTCTGATCAATCATAAAATATTCATATGAAAGAAATTACTTTATGCAAAAGGAAAAGAAATGTAATTTTGTTTTACAGGACAACATGCAGAAGATATTGGTATTCAGCGAAGTGAAGGCAAAAAATGCATTTGGTCATTATTTCGCTCAGCTGAAACCAAAGAGTATCCATCTTTTGGTAGGCCTATACGAAGCAGCTATGCATGGTCCACAGGACGGAAAGAGGTAAGATTATATCTTTTCTATTACAAGCAATATCTTTTAAGAACTGAATATGATACATGAGTAAATACACACACAAACAAGAAAATCCAGTAAAAATAAAGTTTAATTCAAGAAACAAACATTTTCAACAATTTTAAACTGTCATCTTCAGGTTGATAAAATAGACTGTAGAAGATAGAACAAGATTTTTTAAAAAAAATTAATTTAGATGAATTCTGTTGGATGGACCATACATGTGACAAATGATGTCATCATCTCTGGGAGATGGTTTATAAGTTGAGATTGTAGGATCAAAGGGAATTTTGTACAAGGATCTCCAGATATGAGAGAAGGTGTCTGTCTCCCATTAATTGATAGCAGCAACTATAAAGGATGCTTTGTAGATTTTCATTCTTTCCAAGTGTTTTAAAATGGTCTAATTAGAGTCCAGATTTAGGATGTGGGCTTGATTGTAGATGACATTGATGTCATTTTTGGAAGCATATGTACTTAGTGTGGAGGATAGGCCCTTTGTGTTGGTATAGATATGCTTCTTAATTTGTTTGTCGAAAGATCTTGTGGTTTCTTTTACTTATAGGAAATTTTTGCTAAAACGTTTGTGAGAGGAATGGAATAGATCCCAAATAGGGATTTCATATCTACCAGATCCTTAAAATTCTTTAAGATGGAATGAATTTTGTGGTTTCTTTTAAAAGCCAGATTGAAATGATTGGTATTGGCAATTTGTTTGTGAAAGTTGGAGAGTTGCTGGTTATACCAGACTACTTCGTATGTTTTAGAGTTGTCCTTGTTGCAAGTGGAAGGCATCTGGAATTCATTGATTAGATTTTTTTTATGAGTAGGATAATATCCATGTTTTACCTGAGTGATGTATTTAAGTTTCCTTGTTCTGTAAAGAGGGTTGGACAACTGTACAAAGGCCTTCTTGACCAGCACTCTGAATGCAGCCATTTTTAAATGTGAAAGTGTATTATATCTAAATTAATAGCTCTGGAAGCAAGGATCAGATAGTCTAGTTAGCATAATTGGCAATACATCTGCATGATATACAGGAGTTGCAGGTTTGAGTCCTGTGCCAGGCCAATTCTTTTTTTCTCAGAAATTAAAAAAAAAATTAGTTATTATAATTACAAAAATTATCATGAGATGGTAGCTTAACTACCTATCTCTAGTCAAATTACTTTATAACTAATTATTAATATTAGACATTACTTAAAAATCAGGTTGTAGATTGATTGTTGAAATGAACAAATTAATCAATCAATTAATAGTTTCTATGGGAAATCTCTAATCTCTAATTGTTTTAATATAATTGAGTTCAATAGAGGTATCATTTACATCTGAGCAATGAGTATATGCTCTATTTATAAGAACTCTAGTAGATGCCTCTTATAGCCCATACACCTTTGCTAATATAGCTAGCTGAATGCCATGCATGACCTTTTAAATGGATGCTTAGGTTGTCCCCAGTCAGTGCTGTGAGTAACTAGTACAGTTATATATAAATTATTAATAGTTCTGGAGGCAAAAATCAGAGAGAGGTCCAGGTAGCATAACTGGCACTCACCTGCATGGTAGATGGGAGTTACTTGTTTGAGTCCTGCTCTGGGTCAATTCTTTTCTTCCAGAGCATTCTAAATTAAAAATTAATTTATTATAATTATTAAAATATTATGAGATGGCACCTAACATCTACCTCTAGGCAAAATCATTTAATATTTAATTATTAAATAGTAGCTGTATTATAGCTTGATATAATCTGGCAGATCAATTGGCTCTACATATTTAAGTTTTTAATACAATAACTTTAAATATATATGTTAGATTTTTAGCTCTGTATTTTGTTTATTTTTAATATGCTGAAGATGACATAAATAAGATGAAAAGATTATAGCTTTAATAAATATAAAATTGGTTTATTTATTAAAACAATTTTGATCATACAAATAATTCTGGGTCAGTTCAAACTCAGTTCTGTCTCTAGTTGGAGATATTAAAAAGGATTTGAACTGACCCAGAATTATTTGTATGGTCAAAATTGTTTTAATAAGAGAATTAATCCTTGGAATTTTACAATTCATGTTAATTGGTTTCCTTAATTTGATAGTGTGTGTGTGTATGTTTACAATTCTGTTGATTTGTAGATGATTTCAGGTAGTAATGAGTTGTAGACCAGCTGTACATAAATTTCTATCATGTAGATATCATAAGTGATAGTCTGCAATAAAGTAGCATGACTCAAAGAATTTAAATTATTCCTTTTATATATAGTTACTGTTTCTTATATCTATTTATTGCAGTTTAAATTTATATAACAATATTTTTTGAAATATAAATAAATGATAATGATTCACATTTTTATTTTTTAAAATTTAGGATAAAATACTTTCACATGAAAAAAATAAATTACCATCAAAAGGCATCCAACGAGTACATAAAGCAAAATTGGGATTTGGAAATTCTAGGACTCAAAACACTGAGACAGCTATTGATCATAAAGAACAAGAGAGAAAAATGCTAGAAGAATTTGTTTTAGACGACAATGAATTATGTCTTTTTAATTTTTATGATATTCCTGTTGATGTCACAAAGCATTATCGGATGAGAAAATCAGCTAAACTAAAAACTGTGTCAATTATAGACACATTAAGTGAACTGGCACTTGGTGCTGTCGATCGGGAAGATGATACTGGAGCTGTATCATCTTGTGCAATGAATGAACCAATAACTACCACTTCCTATCTTAATCATATTACATCTAATCATTCCTCTTGTGGTATAGCTAATTTAAATAACTGCAAGATTAAAGATAAATTGTTTGTTTCACCATCATTAATTAGAAAAGAAATTCATTCAAAAGAAGGTTCAACTGTACAAGCTACAAATTTTGGTCAATCACTCTTTTCTGATTATTGTGGAAAGTCCCAATCAAATGAATTGTTAGTTACAAATACTTCTGAATCTGAACAAGAAAGTAAAGCTAATCGAAAAGGGATTAAAAGTATCAATAGTGATTTTAGCAAAGATTTTTTGTCATCAAATTTACCTCTTTCTTCATCTGGAACAAAACTATCACATTCCTTACATAATAATGGAGTAGAGCCTATTCCATGCAGTTCTTTAAAAAGGACTCTTAGATATTTGAGAAAAGCTGTCTCATCAACAGGTATGGAAGGAAACTCCAATGAAATGCAATATGTAAGAAGCAATCGTCATCACAGAAAACGAGAAGATAAAGATTATTCTAGATTGTGCTTATCAGATAGTGAAGTTCGTCATACTCGTAAATCTCAAGATTTTCATGGACATACTATCGGTTGTGGCCTACGCTCAAAACAGAAGCAGGGTCATTCTCGTCAGAGTATGAATTTTGAATTATTTTCAAAAATTTCTGATGGAAATAAATGTAGTTCAACAAATGTTTTATCATTACCTGAGAATGATAAAACAGTGAAACAAACTCAAAAAATTACAACTTCAAGACAGCAGTCTCGTGTACCTGAATGGATTCAAAGAATTTTTTCTGTAGCCAAGAAAGGAGATGTAGTATTATTAGTAAGTATTTTTTAATAATTATTTATTGTATCTTTACAAAATTTTATTTCATAATTATTTCACTTAACAAGTTTAATATTTAAAATTGTAAGGATTATTTTAAAGAGATATGATGAAACAAACTAGAACACAAAAAGTCAAATAATATATGTTAAAAACCAGTTGAGTTTAATATAAATAAACTCAATTGTTAAGGTTAGTAATCTAACTTCCTGCAGATAACTTACAATTTATCTGTCAGTTTTAAGTTGCAATCAAGTCCATCCAACAGCTTTTTCATTGTCTAAACTTAGTGTCTTTAAAGAAAGTGTAAAATTATTTACACACTATATACTCATCTGCCATCAAAATTTCTTTGGAAACCATCAAACGTCTATACAGTCGACCCCCCCCTATAAGACGGTAGATACGTTCCGTCCTTTATGAATCAATTTCTTACGAGTCCTTGCCAATCACAGCCCGACACATATGCACTTTACAGACTACGGCTGTTTGAAAAGTTTTCTTCCATAAAATTAATCGATTCTAGATTAATCCGACTCAACATTTCCAAAATACGTATATTTTTTTTGGAAATAATCCAAATAAACTACGCTATAAACAAAAAATTGTAGGATTACTTACCGAGTGTGCACCATTCGACATTGCCATTGCTCAAGCTTGTTTTTGTCGTGGAACAGCTCAGCAAACCGCGGCTGTGATTTCTGATGTTATTTTTCTGCGAAAACTTCGTTGAACTTTGGAGACATCATTAATATAAATAATTTTAATCGCCGTTGAATAAGGAATGTTTCACACGAAATGTATAAAATTACAGTACTGTATTAGACTTACGGTACCTAATTTACATACTGTACAGACGATAGTTCACCTAAACTCTCCGTAGCGTGGCGCTAGACGGCGGAAAATATATATATAATTATAATAAAGTTACAATAAATTAAGTTAATATATAATTATATATACTTAATATATAATTATATATACAGTACCTAATTTATATATAATTAATATATAATTATATGTACAGTACCTAATTTATATATAATACTGTACAGACGATAGTAATATCTCCGTAGCATGGTGCTTGATGGCGGAAAATAGTTTGGCTGCCCGATGACGTTTTATGTAATTATAGGAGTTCTTTTACTGTTTTTTACGGATACTGTCGCAATTTTTTCGCCATCTTATAGGAATTGTAATTATAGGAACCCGTCTTATAGGGGGATCTACTGTATATATGCTTCATTTTTAGTTCTCTCACATTTTTTTTTGTATGCCAATTCCAATGATATTGAGACCCTCAATAATGTCTTGGTCTCCATTGTCTTGTGAAATAATGTTCTTACTAGCAGTATTTTATATTGGTTTGCATTTCTTTCTTTTTGTTTCTATTAACTATTGGCATTTTATAACACTGTCAGTAACAAGCTTTGATACAAATTTTTCCTGAAATGAAAATAGTCTTGAATGTTTAAAATCAAATCATAATCAGAAAAATAAGAACTCCTTGTAAAGGTTATGAATATTTGCTCTCACACTCTAATACAACTTTTCTAAATTGACACTCAAGAACAACACTAACACTAAAAACAACACTTTAATGGAAAACTAACATTTTCAACTGTACCCTGGTCTTCCTCATATTTTTAACCAGTAAGATTTGAACATGGAATGCATAGAACATGTTCAAAAATTATTTTTTAAATATATGGAACAAGCTAAGTATGTGTAGACAACTTTTAACCACATATGTAACAATGGCGATAGAAATATATCTATACCATATTCAGTGATTCTCAACCACTGTGCCGCAAGAATTTTTAAGTGTACGCCACTGGGAATACCCACACATGAGTGACATCAAATAAGTAGTTCAATTGGTTCTATCTTCCTAGGGAACATTTGGAAATTGTAATCAGTGTTACCAGTAACTGCCACTAATTACCAAGGAGTTTAGAAAATGTAACCTAAATAACAAATGACATTTAAAAATCACTGTTATAATGTCACCAGTTGTCCTGTGGTATTTACCGATGTTAACGTGGGTGCCGCCAACTTTTTAAATTATTAAAAGTGTACTGTGACAAAAAAAAGGTTGAGAATTACTGCCATAAACAATGAATAATAAGATATAAATAATGGCATAGAAAAAGATTGCTAACTGCTAGTGTTGCCTGTTTGTTCTATGCATTCCATGTTTGAATCTTACTGGTTAAAAACCTGAGGAAGACTGGGGTATGGTCAAAAATGTTAGTTTTCTATTAAAGTGTTGTTATTACTGGACTCCTAAGGTTCTCGAGTGTGAATTATCTTTTTCAGTATTTCTATAAGAAGTTGTTTTAATATAATTTTTTAAAATTATTTATCTTTTATTTTTTAAATTTTAGAACAACTGCTTAGTTGATATAGTTAATTGACATTAAATATTTTTGAAAATTATATACAGTAGATCCCCCTATAAGACGGTAGATACGTTCCGTTCTTTATGAATCAATTTTGTAGGAATCATAGTTTACGGACTACGGCTGTTTGAAAGGTTTTCTTTCATAAAATTAATCGATTCTAGACTAATTCGACTCAACATTTCCAAAATACGTATATTTTTTTGAAAATAATCCGTATAAACTACGTTATAAACAAAAAATTGTAGGATTGCTTACCGAGTGTGTACCGTTCGACTACGCCCGTTGCTAAAGCTTGGTTTCGTCGCGGAACAGCGCATCAAACCGCGGCCGCGATTTCTGATATTATTTTTCTGCGAAAACTTCGTTGACCTTTGGAGACATCCTTAATATAAATAATTTTTATGGCCGTTAAATAAGAAATGTTTCTTTCACAAGAAATGTATAAAATTACAGTACTGGACAGACGATAGGTCGCCTAACTCGCCGTAGCGTGACGCTAGACGGCGAAAAATATATATTTAATTATAATAAAGTTACAATAAATTAAGTTAATATATAATTATATATACAGTACCTAATTTATATATAATTAATATATAATTATATGTACAGTACCTAATTTATATATAATTATATGAACAGACGATACTAAACTCAATTTATCCGCCTAAACGTCCGTAGCGTGGCGCTACGGACGGCGGGAAAGTAGTTCGGCTGCCCGATGACGTTTTACGTATTATAGGAGTTATTTTTACCGTTGTTTACGGATACTGCCACAATTTTTATAGGAATCATAACTATAGGAAACGGTTTTATAGGGGGATCTACTGTATTCGTTTTCAGAAAACATTTTTACAAATTTTAATTCATTATAGATTAATTAGTATACAGGAGGGTGCAAAAGTTGAGAATCTGAGAAATACAAATGTTTGGTGTTCATTATTATTACTTTTATTATCTTTTATTAGTTTGTATTCCTTATTTGTGATTTAATTTGTACATAAAAATAAATGTTTTCCTTCCTATTTTCTCCCTGCATGTTTTTTCTCATAATAACGACTGTATACCTAATTTTGCACCCCCTGTGCATATATTTTTTCTAAAAAAATTATTAATGTAGTTGTGTGTGTATGTATGTATATATATACATATACATACACTTAGCTCTCAGCTCATTACCATAAAAGTTAGTGTGAATATAATGGTAATATAAGTAAGTGATTATAAAATGAAAGCAAAAAGATCATTTATTGCAGGAAAAACTACAAAGGAAAGGAGATTCTAGTACTCTGTTGGGCCACCTCTAGTGTGAACACATGATGCGATACAGGCAGCCATGGAGGCATACAGATGCCACATGATGTCCTGTGGCATCTCAGTCCACAGTTGCTGCAAGTGGTCTTCTAGTTTAACCAAAGTTGGCCCACTTGGCATCCCACATGATCCCAGACATGTTTGATTGATGACAAATTGGGATCAGGCAGGCCAGGGAAGTGTGTCAATGTCACAGAGGCACCTTTGCTGTGTGGTCGAGCATTGTCCTGTTGGAAAATGGCTCTTGGGAGCCCTGCCATGAGAGGAAAACACATGTGGCTGCAGATGTCACTAACATACCGCTGGGCTGTCATAGTCTTTTGGATCACTGCTGTATGTGATGGCACCCCAGACCATCATACTAACTGTGGGGGTGGTGTGCCACTCCAAAGCATAGGCAGGATTGAGGCATTCACCATGGGGCCTCTAAATACGAACACATCATCTGGATTTATTGCTGTAGATCAGTGTTTCTCAACGGGGTGATATCGCCCCATGTGAGCGTTTTTCCAAGTTGAGGGCGATTTGTAACAATTTATATTTTGGGAGTGAAAAACAATTTTCTGGGCGATATAGTAAAACATTATATTAAGATTAATTAAATATTTTATTTGTTATATCGTACAATAATTAAGCAAATAACATTATANGAGGGCGATTTGTAACAATTTATATTTTGGGAGTGAAAAACAATTTTCTGGGCGATATAGTAAAACATTATATTAAGATTAATTAAATATTTTATTTGTTATATCGTACAATAATTAAGCAAATAACATTATACTAGTCACTAGTCTATTCAATGCGGTATGAATTTGGCGTTAACCCTGGCCCACGGCATCGGAATTTTGAAGTGAAGGGGGTGATACTACGTAACGGTTTTGTTGAAGGGGGCGACGATTCGTTAGAGGTTGAGCAACACTGCTGTAGATGACCTGGTTTCATTCTGTTGCAGTTCAATCCTGTCTGGAGTGACACATTCCAAACAGAGGCAATGGTGGATGTCTGTCAATGGTAGCACACATAATGGCCATCACAATACCAAATGTTCCTCACTTAGGTGCCTTAAAATGGTATGGACAGACACAGGCCTGTAATGATGGTGCCACCTGTGTCTGGATGGTGGACAACATTATGGTCAGCTGTGTGTGAGCTTGTCACTTCTAGTGGTCTGCTGAGGACATCCTGAGCTTTGGCACTATGTGTGCGAGCTCTCTCTCATCCACTGGTCCCAACACTCCTCACAGTGTTTTTAGAATGGCCTAAGTGATGGGCTATTTGGCGAGATGACCATCCAGCTTCTCTCAACCTGATGATCATTCCCTTCTCAAACTTTGTTAGTTGTTCATATGGTCTTTGATTGTGACGTAAAGGCATTTCTAGTGATACAGCATCCCTCTGCAACAGGTAAACTACAGACAAAGATGCCTTTGAGCACTTTTTTATAGACTAAAGATGAACTTTAACACTCTCTGGTGGCATTACAAAATGAGCTATTGCACTATAACTGTAATTATTTCCATATCTGTTTGAGACTTATCTGCATGCCAATGATATGATAACTCCTCCTTGGTATGCTAATTCTTATGACAATGAGTGTCTATACAAGTATATACAACTACATTAATAATATTTTATAAAAAAATATATATTAATACAAAAATCTGAAACAATGAAACAAATTAGGAAAAAGTAAAATGAAGTAATTATTAAAATAATTTTTTTGTCCAACTTTAATTCTTGTGATTAAAAATTCAATTAAATATTTCCAGAAAACTGCTTTGAAGGATATGGATGCTGCTCTTATTAGAAATCTGTCTGATCACAATGGAAATAATTTATGGCATATATGTGCTGCATTTAATCATTTGAAATGCCTTCAATGGTTGTGCACATATGATGATCAAGATGTTTTAGTAGATGAAAACAAAAATGGTTTAAATCCTGTTGTTATTGCTGTAAAGGTAAATTTTAGTTTGTTTTTAATACTAATTTTATCAGGACCATTGAGAACTTCCATGGAGCTTAAGGGTAGAATGGGCATCTTTAACCTTTTATTTTTTTGAACAAATGAAATATGTAGAATGTTTCTTTATTAATAAAAAAAGTAGTCATAAGGATTTTATTTTTGTTAGTAGAAATAATATTAGCTTTATAAGGTAGGAATTGCTGTGCCCTAAGTGTTCTCTGGACCTGGAAAAAATCTCCAGTTTCATTTTCTCAATGGTTCTGAATTTTATATTTAATTCATTTTGTCATAAAAACTGCAAAGTGATAAACTGGTATTTATTTAACATAAATATATATAATTTATTTGTTTTTGAAATTTGATTTTGTTTATGCAATTTTGTTTTTGTAACTAAGTTTTGATTACCATAATTTTGTGTGACTAATGCTTGCAGGTGTAAAACTTACATCAGCATATTTTGCAGAAAATTTCTAAAACTAAAATAAAGCCATATTACTGTATATCTTATGCCTGCAGAGCAATAGCCATTGAAAGCCAGGAGTGCATATACTTTTGGAATCAAACTGATGCAAGATTACTTTGGTTGCTCAAATTGTTTATGCAAATGAACTGTAGCGATTTGATCAGTCTCTATCTGGATATATAAATACTATCTTGGATCAAGTAAGTCATGATCAAACTAATCTGAGCAAAAGGTAGGATCATTCGGATCAAATGAAAAAGATTAAAGATAAATTTATAGTTGACGTCAAAGAAATATACTTAACCATTGACAATAAAAAGTAATTAAAATTTATAAGTGGTAAGTAAAAACATCATTATTAAAATATGCGATAAACTGAGATGAAAAAATAAATATTAAGAGACAATTTTGTGAGATTGTATGGCAAGAATGCATAGCTTGCACTTTCTTCCTTTACATTTTGTGAACAATTTTATTCACAGAGTAAATACGATTCGATTATACTTGTATATTTTCAGCCAACTAAAACACAGGACAGAAGTGATCTATATCATGTGACAAAGATTGATCTGATCTTACAGATTGATCCATTTGAAATGAAAAGTACAAGGGGTGTTCAAAAAGTATCGGACCTTTGGTCAGCAAAAATACATTTATTGATTTTGAGGTACAAAGCCCTAATCCCCTTCAAAGTAGTCTCCTTGGTAATGTATACACTTCTCCCAGCACTCCTGCCATTGCTGGAAACACTGCTGGAACGCATCTTATGGAATGGCCATCAGTCAGTCTGACGCATTCCGCATGATGTCTTCTCTTGACTAAAATCAGGTTCCTTTTAACAGCATTTTCAGCTTGAGAAATAGCCAAAAGTCACATGGAGCCATGTTGGGGGAGTACGGCGCGTAACGAACCACAGGAATGTTGTGTTTGGCGACAAAAGTCCAAATCAGATGGGCAGAATGGGCGGGTGCGTTATCATGATGGAGCTGCCAAGTTTTGGTTGACCACAGATCCGATCGTTTGCACATTTGTGATTGCACAGCATCACAAAGACAATGAAGGACCTCTTGGTAGTACTCCTTTGCAATGGTTTGGCCTTGTGGTGCATATTCAGGATACACCACCTCACGGGAGTAAAAAAAAAAACTGTCAACATGACCTTGACATTGCTGCGGACCTGCTGTGCTTTTTTGGCCTCGAGTATCGTCCCTGAAAGCCTACTGAATCTTGTGAATGTTTTCTGCTTGGGTATCGCCAAGCTTTTGGCAAAATTTGATGCAATATCGCTGCTCATGTTGTTCAGTCATTTTCCAACTCGTTAGTGGAATCTGACGAGCACTCACTATACATCCTTACTCAGGCCGACTGCAGGCAGGAAAAAATTCAGGACTGTTCATGACTGTCCCCTCCACAACTCCACCGAAAGAGACCTCTCGTGCATCATTGGTTTACATGGAAAAAATAAAGGTTTGATACTTTTTGAACACCCCTTGTATATGCATCCCAGTAGAGTTGTCATCCTTTCTTATTATCTGACTAAGAGATTATAATAAAATAAAAGAAAAACTTGCCATTGCTAAATATAGAATAAATATTATGCAATTGCTTTTTATTTTATACAACAGTAGCATGATATATGTAAAATAGTATAATATACAGTATGTAACATATCAAAATACTGTAATTTTTTACTTTTCTCATTAATTACAAATAAACATAGACAACTTCTTTAAATAACCACTTATCTAAAATATAAAAAAAAATTACTTAAAACTCATTTGTTATATTTTATTGCTTCCTTTTTTCTTTTTTTTTTTTTTGTTTTGTAAAAGCTCATGATGGGAATTAAAAAATGATCTAATTTTTACTTCCCTAACATTTAAAACTTTTCATACTTAAACTATATAAACTACTTTACATAAGAATAATTTTAGACATTCAACATGGCAGTGTACATGTGGAATTGGGGACTTAACCCATCCCATTTGGGAAGCAGAAAGTGATGACATGGTGATCTACTTTCACAAGTCCATTCACCTGTTTGATGAGTTCAGGAGGGATCACAATGTGTACTTGACTGGGTTGTGTGTCATTTGCCAGGCTATCATGATCTTGCTGAAACCTTATCTCCTTCACTAGTTGTGACTGTTTTTCATGAGTGCTGTAGGATGATTGCTGTGATATTTTATTACACAGCAATCATTCTACAGTGAATGTTAATTGGCATGTTATCTTTAGTGGTTAGGAAACAGATTACCAGATGTTGAATTTTTCAGTAAAAATGCCATTTCTCCATTTAGTAAATTAACTGGTTTGTAACAGAATTGATTGTGCTCATTGTCAGTGCCTCCAGTCCAAGGTTGTGTGATGTCATACATACATTATGCACCATATCTGGGCTAGTCTGTGGCTCCATACTCCAGACCAGCCCAGACCTGGCACCCTCTGATTTCAACTGTTTGGTCCAATGAAGCATAATTTTTGGGGGCAATGATTTGATGATACAGACAAGATGAAAATGGCTGTGAAAAAGTGGGTACAACAGTACAAACCTGAATTTTTTCAAAAAAGATTCCAGAGTTGGTTCAATATTGGCATGAATGCATCACTTGTAATGGAGATTAGTTGAGTAGTACTTTTGTAAAGAGGAAGACTTATTCTATCAACAAGTGCAATTTAAACAACCCATGTCAGTAAATGCCCTCATATTTAACTAAAGTTAAAGTATATGATAATATTTATCATATTCTTTAACTTTAGTTATTGAAAAATATTTTGTACCAGTTTTATAGAATACTTAAGAGAACTGGTCAAAATGACCAGTGATGGCACACAGTAGCTAGTAGTTCTGTGTTAAAGAAATAATGAAAGCAAAAATATATATGTGTGAGAACCTGGGGATTAGGAACAATTTAAATGCTAAAAAGAATTAAAATTTAGTAGAAAATTAGACTTATTTTATAAAAGAGGAAGAAAGACAAAATTTTATCTAGTTCAACATCTCTCTTTTGCTTCATGTGAATCAGAGAATGTTGAAGTTCTCTGAATTTCTCTGACTAACTTTCAGTCAAAAGTTAGTCAGAGAAATACTGCATCAAGAATAGACCTGATTGGTTATAATTTCTATAAAAGGTGGAAGTCACCTTCACTCAAGGCTTTTTGTCTTAGTCCTGAGGTCACTAGCCACCAGCAGTATAGCCAATTGATGGAGTTCCTTCTGACTCCCACCTTGTGTTTATGTCCATCTCATAATGACAGAATAGTTGGAAAATACTCCCCATAAGAAGGAAAGGTTCTCAACAGGTAATATACAAATTTTATGTAAGCTCTTTCCCCAGGAAAAAGGGATTAGGAAGCATATAGCTAAATAAGTAGTCCTGCCATGTGGATGTAGTATTTAGCCAATATGTCTAGAATATGTATTTTGAATCTTATTAGGTTTTTATAATAATTTGTATGCATTGTATATACTTTATGTATTTGAATAAATATCTAGTTTCGTTTATTAGAGGATTTGTCTCACCTCCATTTCATGAACTGACACGACCCCTCTGACACTCAAATTAGCCTCTTGAATCAAAGTAGTCATTAGATCAGCCACTTGGATCTGTTAAGTTACTATAGGAATCACGAGTTAGGACACAAGCAGTATTTATCCTAACTGATGTCAGGACTGATGTATACAGAAATCTCACAATCTTTTGTCTTCCTTAAGTTTAGGTAAAAATTCATAGCCATCCTAGACAGTGGGCAAGGTCTTACAGACCCTGATCTCACATATGGCAAATACATTGTTTATAATCTATATATATATAATCGAGACGAGTTGATAATAATAATAATAATAATAACTCTCCCATGGTCACCACCTGGTCGTGGTGGGAGAGCCCAGTAATTTTACTGAACCATAGAGCAATGCAGGCTGGAGCACAAGCTCCTGGTAGGGACACCCATGCCAGTAAGGTCTATGGGGAGAAATGAAGCTAAGAGTAACCACACCCACATTCTGTGGAGATAATTATTATGGTAGTAACCAGATCAAAGTGTGATACCGGCTCTGACATCGCCTGGGTTAACAAGGTCCGCGTTCGTGGGTTAGGCAGAGGCTCACGTTCGAAAAATAGGCTCCAGTCTCCCTTGGTTACCGGTGGCGAAAGCAGCGCCGGCCCAAGAATGGCTACTGCAATGCCCTCAACAGATGTGAGGAATCAACCTAGCCTTGGTGTTTCTGTGGCAATGCATCCACAGACCACAAAGGCTGGAAAACCAC